TATTTCAGGAAAGGGGTACCATTTATGGTTTCCAAAGTGTTAACCTCAAGCTTCCAAGACCCTCTGCCCTAAGAGTGAAGATCCCTGTCCGAGATCTCAGGGAGCCTCCAAGTAGTCGGAAGTGAGGAGGAGTCAGGAAGAAGAGACACCAGGAGAGAGTATCTCCCAACTGTGTTTCAACCAGGCCTTTCCTGAGCTTATCCGTTTTACCCATTACTTTCTTAGATAACCCCTAGTGATTTCATTTGAAGGAAGAATTCCAAATGTTCTTCTGAAATGCTGAAAACTTCTGTCCTAGATACACTCCCTTGATCATAAGCCCAGCCCACAAGGAAATCACTGAGCTGGATAACCCAGGAAAACCATTACCAGTCAGCTCTTCCACTCCCAACTAGTTCCCTCTGATGATAATCCAGGGGAATTAACATAGCAATATTGTTCCAGCAAGTCTAGAGAAATTCAGTTTCCTTATGTTATGAAATACATGAAATAAAGCCTACTAACCAAACAACCCTTTATTTTGGCACATTTATAGACCACAAAATATGATTGTGAGCTGCCACTGCTCACAGGGGAGATTTAACGGTGTTACAGAATAAATGCCAGGGCTCTGTGGAATAAAGAAATCTATTTTCAGCTGAGATTCTCAGCCAGAAGTGTCTTCCCACTAAGAAGTGTGTGAAATTTCAGAAATGTAGAAGCAGAGAGGTAAAGCACGTCAACACCCTCTAGCCAAAGACCACCAGCAGCACATCTGTAGTGGACAAGCTGGGTTTATTACATGTTGCATGGAGGGAGAATGCACACCAGAGGGAACCACGAGCATTTCAGTAAGAGAGCGTTAGAAAGAACCTATTAGCAGGACTCAGGCTTCCGTTGGGTAATTTGGGGGAAGTCTAGAGAAGCGGGGCTTTGTTCTCTATTGAATGCTATCAGAAAGCAGGGGCAATTCAATGACTAAACATCTCAATAGGTCTTACCTATAAGTAGGATAGACTAGAGCAGGAAAAAGCTGTAAATGGTAAAGAATCAGTAGTCACTCATAACTGATCATCTTGCACAGAACAGGAAAAGGTCACACTAGTCAGGAACAGATATTATTCTTGGCCACACTGGGTAAGAACCAGTGTCAATTCCTTTCTGCAGAAGACTCTGATGCTGATTTCAGAAACCCAGAGAGTAATATATTAGTTACTATGCATATCTATGTCTAGATCGAATTCTAGACATTGGCTTTGGATATGTCACTCAAGGCATTTTTCTGTCCTCTTAAATAACACCTATATTAAAGTACCTTTCCTGTGATCATTTCATATAGTTACCTGGGATAGGTAGACTATACCTTACTATTTCAGTCAAGTATCTGATGTCCAGAGGAGTAAAAACACCTAAGTGTCATTGCTTGCTTTGTAAACTATCTGTGGTGAAGAAACCATTTTCTTTCTCCCAATTGGTCTTGGACTATTTTGTAAAATACAACAAAAATTAATTACTAGAAAAATTAAATGATAAAACGCAAAACACAAGCCCCATTTTTATTTTATTATCAGGCCCAATGCAAATACAATAATTGTCAAATTGGTATAAGAGTTTCTATATATATAGTCTCACTTTTGGTATTTCTCTTTTCACAAGCCTGAGTCTGTAGACACACTTTGAGGACCATTGGTTTTTAAATTAAATTAAAGCATTCTTTACTACAAACTAATTCTGAGAGTGAGGCCCATTTCAAACTCACATAGCATGCCACAGGTTACATAAGAGAAAAGAGATGTAAGGCGTTTCACTCAGAAGGCCTTGCTATAGAGCCCCCAATCTTAGTGAAAAATAAATACCTATGGCTGTTTCTTATAGGCAACAGCTTGAAAGGACACATGTAGAAAGTCAGATCACTGGAATGCCATCTAAAATCAACATAACCAAAAGGATTACACTTCTAGTCCAGGTAGAGCTTCAGTAGAGACTTAACTATATACTTGCTGGGCTGGGATTTATCCATTGGTCGATTATAATCAGAGCCTCCCAGGGGTACCTGGGTGGCTCAGTCAGTTAAGCATCTGACTTTGGCTCAGGTCATGATCTCACAGTTCGTGGGTTGGGCTCTGTGCTGTCATGTGTGACAGCACATGTTGGGCTCTGTGCTGTCAGCTCAGAGCCTGGAACCTGCTTTGGATTCTGTCTCCCTCTCTCTCTTCCCCTCCCCCACACACACTCTGTCTCTCTCTCTGAAAATAATAAACTTTAAAAAAAATATTTTTAAAAAGTCAGAGCCTCCCAGGGCAATGGCTTCATAGCCCATCAGGTTAATCCTCAGGCATCTATGTTATCTCAGTATCCCAGCTTCCCTTTCTAAGGTCAAGAAATGTCAAGCTTAAATCCCTTCCTTGCCAGTTAAAGGGGAAAATGGGCTCAGGAATCAGCCAAGTTTATTTACATTCCCTTCAATTAAACTTCCTACTTCATCTCAGCTAAGGGCTTATCCCATCCAATGCAATCCTGCAATTCTTTGAATTTGTCCCCAGCTCAATAAAGTGGTCCTGGTGTTATCCCTCCAGTCTGGTGATGTGCTCTCCGTGACCCTGCTCACTGCTCTTCCTGCCCTCATCTTCACTCCTCCTCCTGGCACATGGCTACTCTGAGCTGGAAACTCTAGAAAAGGCCTCATTTCACATACCCACATCGTCAGCACTGCCTTCTCTGCAGGCCAGACCCACCCTTTTCCTGGATCAAGCTGAAGGTCTGAGCCACTTATCTCTGGCTCAAAACTCTGTCCTATCCATAAACTCTCTCCAGAAGATATTTCCCTTAACTACAATTTTTCAAGTTAAACACGACGCTACTCTACATACATATGCCAAATATTTTGACACTTAAATTCTATGGCAAATTTGACGTCTTTGAGCTGTAGGATGGTAACCATTATTCCTTTCACCATTTCACAGTGCCTAGAATAGCACTCAATCCATTACTGGCTCCCACAAACATTATTTAATTAATTAACTGATGGGTCAAATAATGGAACAAATGAATACTTGCAATGTAGTACAGACCCGCACTCAACATCCATGTATACATGTTTACACTGTATCTTAAAAGTGAGAAATTAAAGAATCCTAATAATTAACATTCATTCCTACTCTATATTTTCCTCTTCCTTATAACAATGTGTTATTGCCCCAGATTCTGTCTCTGTGATTAGATCATTTGACTTGTACAGTAAGAAAAATACTGATTTCTCGGTCAGGTTTAAAAATGCTTTCTTTGCCTTTTTACCTTCCTTAAACTGATTTTCAAGCTAATATCCCACATCTTGGGGCGCCTGGGTGGCGCAGTTGGTTAAGCGTCCGACTTCAGCCAGGTCACGATCTCGCGGTCCGTGAGTTCGAGCCCCGCGTCAGGCTCTGGGCTGATGGCTCAGAGCCTGGAGCCTGTTTCCGATTCTGTGTCTCCCTCTCTCTCTGCCCCTCCCCCGTTCATGCTCTGTCTCTCTCTGTCCCAAAAATAAATAAATGTTGAAAAAAAAAAAAATTAAAAAAAAAATCCCACATCTCAAATCTTAACCAGGAAAATAAAAAGTACACACTTTTTTATGCTAGAAAACTAAAAAATAACACTGAATTAAGTTTTACACTCAATATATTTTACTTACAAGTATTATAAAACAGTACCTTTTATATAATTTATTTTCTTTTATATCTTAGTAGTACTGAATCAAGCTCTCTCAATGAATTACTTTAAACTTAGTCCTCTAGAAAGTGTTTCTTTATTTCCCAGTCAGTGACTTCATAATTCCCATCTATTCAACCTTTGTGTAGAATGAGAAGAATTTGAGAGATTCCTTATGCCTTCAGACCCCAGAATACCACCTAGCACCAAATGTGAGCATATATATATATATATATAGATCCTAACCTAATGGAATCCAACTTGAAAACATGGACCTGTTCTATTCAGTTTTCTGTGCGGGCTTTTAAAAGCCTACAGAACATCAGGAGGCAGTACAAGACTGTAGAAAAAAAGCCTAAAACAATGACCTAACTAGCATTTGATAAAACATATGTATCATAACTCCTCTGGGTTGGGCCTATGCATAGAACAAACAACAATAGCAAAAAATTAATGGTATTGTTGGAAGACCAGCCAAGGTAGAATAATCACAAGCAGGAACATAAGGAATATTTTGAGAACTCCCAGAAGAGTGACAAAACAAAGGGAATAGCTCTGAACTCCCAAGAAACAGCAGCCTGGCCACCATAGATAGAAAAATGGTTGCTTTTTTGAACAAAGACTTGGAGTCAACTGTGGATGGAAGAGGCATAAACACTGACACACTTTTCAAATGGCATCTGGAGATACAAAACAAATAAAAATATTTCACATCTGCGGGGTATGTAAAGAAGGGTCAGTTACTACTGGCCTCAACAACAAAACTGAAGGGTAATATATGGGTATTTTAGTTGAAAATAAAGAAAAAACTGATTCAAAGCCGCAATGCAGAAAGAACTACATCTCATGTTTGTAAAGTAATGCTATTTGAACAAATTCTGACAAAGTATCTGCTCATTTCCCATTTTAGCATTCTGTGGGGAAGTGAAAGAATGCATTCAAAATACTTTCTTTAAGAAGATATCCAAAGTTTCCACATAAGAAGTGAAATACTATCATTTTGGAGGAATCTACATTTCTTTAGAAAATTTTCATAATGCTTTGAAAGAAATAAGGAAATAAAATTCCCCAAAGTAACACAAGTGAAAATATAAGCAAAAAAAAAAAAAGATAAAAACAGGTTATCTTTTGTTTCTTGGAATAATGTTGTCTTCATGTCAAAATTAAGCCAACGTACACATCTTGGACAGTAAAATGCTTTCTAATGCTTCTTCCTGAACTTAAAATATAACAATAAGACTTCCTTTCTACCTCTACCTACTAAGCCACCCTGAAACCATGCTGCACTCCCTAACACCTGCAAACACACACGCACAAAAGGGAATAAGTCTTACCAGACCATCACAGTTGCTAATGGCAACAGAGGTTCCTGGAATGTCCATGATGTCACCAACATAAGCACAGTTAGTCTGCAAAGGCTCTGTTTTCCAGATTCTTTCTGAAGAATTTCCTGCTTGATGATCATTATTGGGATTGGTTATATTCCCAGGCACCAGAGAGGTCTCATGCCATTCCACAACAGCCCCAGGAGCTACCAGCTGAGTGTTGCGCTTTAGTCGCAGATGAAAGTCTCTTCCGAATGCTGTGATGTTAAAGAACAATTGCTCAGAGTTGGAAGACACGTCCCTCGTTGACCTCTTTTTGTGATTTGCAGAAAGAATATGGGAGAGATAGTGTCCTTCAAAATCTGTGCTGACTGGAGTCACCAGTTCATACTCTCTCTGTCTCTTTAATTTTGGTAAATCTGTAGGGTGAAAAATAGAATTGTAGAAGCCTGTGCAACAAGAGAACACAGGAGGACAAAACATAGGCATAAAGTGCCCACCTCACAAGACTGTACCTCAACTTGCAAAATATATATGTTCCCGAACCATCTCCTAAGTATGAAATTTTGGGAACTTAAATCATTTCTCAAATATATTTCTGTAACTCTGTGTTCAATGAATCATTTTATTTTAAAAAATGTATTACAATGTGAATATTCATATCACATTACATGTTTGAGGATATAATAAGTTTCCATAAACTATATCTGGCTTGCTTATAATCAAGACATGCTCCCAATTAATTTATTACAGGCACAACTGACACCTGCTACAAATGTTTAACAAACTTGTTATTAAATGTAGAGGAAATTTTTTGATTGTTTTATTTTTTCCCTTTAAGACTCCTAGAAGTTTTACTGATTAAAATAGCAACCTTATGTTGCATTTACCATAGGCCTATACTTTATACACTGTAGTTTATGGTGCTGTCGTTTACACATATTTTTTCCATCATAACAACCCTAACAATCACACTTCACAGGTGAGGAAACTGAGATTCAGGAAGTATGTGTCCAAGGTCAAGCAACTGTGAAGCACAGATATGAATCCAAGTTATATCCAAAGCCCATACACTCATTCTGCTACATTTGAGTTGTGCTCCATAAATCACAGAACATTTTTAGAAAATGAGAAGAATGGGTAAAAAAAGTAGAAATCATAATCTATAAATTGAATACGGAGATGCGGGTTAGTTAAGAGCAAATGGCATTGTCATTTTGCACCATATTCCTTATGTGGGACAGATACTTGTTTTTTGTTTTTGTTTTTGTTTTTTAATTTTTTTAACGCTTATTTATTTTTGAGAGAAAGAGAGAGAGACAGAGCACTAGCGGGGGAGGGATAGAGTGAGAGGGAGACTCAGAATCCAAAGCAAGATCCAGGCTCTGAGCTGTCAGCATAGAGCCTGATGCGGGGCTTGAATTCACGAACTGTGAGATCATGACCTGAGCTGAAGTCGGAGGTTTAACTGACTGAGCCACCCAGGTGCTCCAATACTCATTTTAATATGGATGTGTATTTGGGGCCTACCTTACTTACAGCATAAGTGACCACCTACATATTAAGCTTAATTTCACAATTAATTGTCCTAGTTTAGCCAAATGTGTTATGTCTGCTAAAATGAAAACATCCTTGAGAAAGATAGCACATTGAATAAACCACTTATCCCTTACTAGAAATGATTCTAAAGCAAAAGACCATGGATACTGGAAGAGAAAATGAGGAGGACAAAGATTTTCGAGAAAAGAAGGCAAGCAAAATCTGATAACAGAAGTTAAAAAGCTCCCCACCTTCATGATTCTAGCCTAAGACCAGTCTTGCAGTGTGTAAAAGTACCCTGAAAAAAATGATATGATCCACAAATACTTCTCTCCTAGAGGAATTGCGTGTATGTCATCCAATAAATGAAAGTGTAATGCCTCATAACTGAACCTACAACCTATGATCTGAAAGTATCCTTACAGAATATTTTCATTGTTTTCCTGCATTTGAAATACTTCAAACAATGTATAAAATACCAGAAGACAAATGAAGGTATTTTGCAACTTGGAAATTCTTTGAGTGCATGTTTGTTATCATTATGCCATTTATAGTGACCAATGTATTTAAACAAAATATCCTTCTTTATCAAGTGCACAGATCAAATGACCCTGCTGTAAATATTTACTAGGCAGAGGAGTGAGGACTGTCATATCACAGAGTAAAATGAAGGCCGACTCCAATACTGGCAGCGACAGCACACGATCCCTGTTTCGTAGGCTCTATCACAGCCGAAGACTTGCGCGAGGCATCAGCGTAAGCACAGACCCAAAGATGTGGCCTCTCTTAAAGCCAAATCCATGGGGAATACTTTTGTCGCTTCTGGTTTATAGAAAGAACTCTAAATTTTATGGAATAGACTCAAGCATCACAGGAGCAGAGTGATGGAGGGGACAGTTTCCACAGTAAGCGATGAATCAGGCTCTTGGATGGGGACTGACAAAGCCTGTCCCAAATTTAAGTTTCAATTCCTTAAGGACAGAAACTTCCCCATTCAGCTTGCTAATTCCAATGTCATCTAATACAAGATTTTGTACATGCCAGGGTCTCCTGTCGGTAGGATCTGTTTAACATGTATTAAGTTAGTGATGCAGGTCACCAGAGAGCCTTTGCTTTGTCTGTGCTGCGACACTCCAACTCACAAGACAAACTACCCAAGGCCCAGGGGTGTCTGGCTGCACAAGTAATCCCAGTTATAACTCGTTCTCTAACCATGTGTTTACTCTTTCAAGGGAAGGAGATTTCCCATCTCCACTGAAGGGAATTCACACAACCAAAGTCTAGACAATATACTGATGCCTGGATTAAGTGACCGGACCACTAGAAAATTTAGGGAGAATTCAAGGAGACTCCTCCACACCCACGAGGACACGCAGAGCCGCAGGCTTACGGCAAACCATGCATCCCAGACTCTCTGGGACAGTTCCATTTTTCCACTGTCAGACAGTATGCTCTGCATTTTTATTCAAAATAAAGACGGCCTATTTCTTTAGAGCCTTGTCTTCTCTGATGCTAAGTGACAAATCATTCCAAACATGCATACATAAGACACACTGCTGAAATTAAACCTGCCATGGGTAATCCTCCAGTTGGGAAGTAAGGTAACCAAGGGAAAAGATGCACTCAGTAAACCCTCAGGCCACCATCCCCCTGGACAGTAGCTGGCAGAACTGACAAAGGAGCTACCAGGCTACCTGCCTTCATTGGCAGGATAAATACTGGGCACTGAGCTTTATGCTCATGACTCTCCCATCCCTCATTCTCACAACAATCACAGTAGGTAGATGTTATTATCCCTGAGTTACAAATGAGAAAGCAAGCCCGGAAGGCTTGACACGTAGCAAGCAAGAAGCCGAAGGAAAATTTCAATTATGATCATTCTGACTGAAGACCATGCTCCTGTGCTCTTACTCACTTCAGAATAGATGGAACATCTTGCTGCTGATTTCTAATTTAAGATCTGACTTATAAAGGAAACCCACCACACGAATGACAACGTCGTGTCTACTCGCAGCCAGCCAACCAATTTTTCCTCCAGCGTAGCTTCAAACATTTCTGTAAAAGGCTCTCAAATCCTCCGTCTTTGGGAGAAAAAAGGGGGCGGGGGGTGAGGAAAGCTCAGAGCTATCAAAAGTATTTTAATCTCAGATTATAATTACACAAGCAAATTAAATTATATCCAGTGTCAATTTACTATAATTAGAAATGACACACTTCATAGGTCCAAATACTTCCACAAAGCAGCACAGCCTATGATTAAGGAAGGAACCACACTGTCGGGAAGCAAGTTAAGTCAAAACAAAGAACTTTGCTTTCTCTTAGGCTCAGGGTCCTCAGGTGTTTGTTACCTGGAGGCTAGTAATAGTTCCAACTTCACAGACTTAGAAAGAGGTTTAAATGAGATTATGCGATTATGCAGAAGATGCAATACATATTAGCTACTGTTAAATGTAAGTCGGCTACGCATTAAAATATTGCCCATGTGCAATTTTAAAATGTGAAACTATACAACTGTCAGCAGAGATGGCTAAGGGCCACAGCAATAGGTATGTAAAGGTTTTCGTGGGCCATAAATTCTACAAGCACAAATGGGCAGAGCCACTATAAAGCCACACTGTGGTCACTAGGTACCCAAGCAGCACTCAGATGCAGTGAACCTTCCCCAACCACCTGGTGTCTACACACACATGGTCCACCTCCCTCCAGGTGCTGTGGATGAGCTGTCTGTGATCTTACCCAGGAGCAAATCCTCCAGTTGTGCACCATATCCTAGTCCCTCTGGCCTTTGCAAAAACAATTTCTGCAACTGTCCTCTCTTCTTTCCTCATCAGTTTCCCCACTTCACTAGATCATTCCCACCATCAAACTAGTAAGCTGCCATCCTATCTCCCATCTTTAATAAAAACCCTCTTGACGCCACAGTCCTCTCTAGCTGATACCCCATCACTTCACTACCCTTCATAGCAAAACACTTGAAATGACTGACTACAACAGATGTCTCCAAGTCCTGTCTTCCCATTCCTGCTCTTCCTTAAGCCTGACCCAATTAGGCTCTAGAGGTCACTAGCGACCCCATCTTGCTGAAACCAATGGCCAAGACTCTATCTCCTTACTTGCCGTATCAGCAGATTCTGACCCAGCTCATCTCTCTTTCCTTCTTGAAGTATGTTCTTTCTTTAGCTTCCAGGACATCTTCTGGCTCTCCTCTTTCCTCAGTGGTCTCCCCTCCATCCTCCATGACTGGCTTAACACCACAGTGCTGCAGGACCTGGTCCATGGACTCCTCTCTTCTGCATCTACCCTCCCGTGCATGGTGAATTCATCCCATCCCATGGGTTTGAGAGTGCCTTCACAATCCTTCATCTCCAGCTCCAGCTTCATCCATGGGCCCCTCTGTTGTCAACTCCATTGCCTATGGATCCTCTCCATGTAGACATTCCCTAAGCATCTCAACTTAATATTTCCAAAAGTAAACTTCCTATGTCTCTCCTCCCAAATCAATAATTGGCAACTCTATCCTCCCAGCTACTCAGAACAAAAACTTGACTAAACTATCCTTAGCTCTTATCACCTCACAAAACAAATCTTTCAACAAATTCTAATGACTCAGCCTTCAAGATATCTCCAAACACTGACCATAGCTCACCACCACCCCTGCTACCACCCCAGTCCAAGCCAGTGGTCTCAGTTCTGAATGTGCTGCATACCTGTTCTCCTTGCTTCCACTCCTCCTCCCCTTTATAAATTATCCTCAAAATAGAGCTAGAGTCATTGAAGTGGCAAGACAAGGCACTCTTCTCAAAATCCAACCCAAAGTAAAATGGGTTTTACTCTGTCCCACAGCCTGACACTGAGAATTCTCACATCTCAAGGTTACTCACTGTGCTTACTTTCCCCTGGGATCTCCTCCCGAGGTGACCTGAATGACTCACCTGTCCGTTCCTTCAGGT